AAACCATCTATAAACCATAATAAGGACAACAAGCTTGAAAAGCTTTCCAGAATGCAAAGAAAAACAAAAGGTGCCAGCAAGTAGTGCCTGAGTGCATAAAATGTAGGGTGACTAGAGAATTGGGAGCCAAAGTCATAGTTACATGTTCCTGGAAATTATTAAGAGCAGAAGAAATAGCAATGTATTTTTTTTTTTTTTAAAAAAAAAGGAAAAAGAAAAAAACTTTCTTGAGTTCAAGCATGTGCATTGAAAAGGACTTAGGAAATTCCCATAATTTCAATGAAGAAAAAAATCAAGTTTAGAACATTCTTAATTTTTTTTAAACAAAGATTAAAAAAGGAAACAAAATTTAGCAAGGAATTAGGGAGAAATAAGCAACGAACTTATTTACAGGAAGAATATTCAGATTGTCCTCAGAATTTTCTACAACCCTAAAATATACATTGACTCAATTATCCTATTCGAAAGGCCTCATCTGTAACTGAAATTAGTTAAGATTTATGTGCTAAAATGTGCTATGCAGTGTTGTTATTTTTAATATCTGTAAACTGGAATAAAATGTATACTATGTAAGAAAGGTATGATTAAATAAATTATAGTATACCTCTTCTCAATAATATAATCAAGCCAGTTAAATTCATGTTTTTAAATTAGAAAATGTCAAATAAAAAAATATAAAACTACCTATGATATGTCTCCAATTTAAATAAAGGTGTATATATGTTTGTGTGTATGCATATTTGTATGCGTAGAAAAAAGTCTAAAATGTGAATGGTATGTGTCTCTGGGTAGGGGAAATATGTTTACTATCTCCTTCTTCCCAAAATTTCCATGTGTGCACGATGGTGTTATAATTACTAAAAAACAACGAATTAGAAACGATGACAGTGGCTGTTATTTGGCAAAGGATAAGGGAAACAGGGCAAATCTAAGAAATTATAGTACATTATAGGCCAAAGAGACTGAATTTAGTACTGGAAAACAGTTGAAAGTCATCATAGAACCAATTTGCAAACAGTGAAGCAAATCGAGTAGCAGAGACTTGGCCTTGTAAAGAACCAATTCTGCCAGACCACTTCAGCCCTTTCTAGATGCTGAATGGCAGGTCTGGTAGCTTAACCAAAAGCAATAAATGTTATGGAGCTTGGCCCTGGGCACATATTTTAATTTAGTCAAATATGAAGCCCTCGTCACTAAAATTGGAAAACAGGGTCTGTAGTGCCAGATGCAGTTCTAGCTGAGGAGTGATATTGAAATTGTACTGGCATGGGGTGGAGAACAGGAAAACCCCAAGTGTTGCAGACAGGGAATAGTATGTTTGAACTGTGGGTGATAAACCTATGGTGTGTTCAAGGCATGAGGAGGTTACATGGATAGAACATGGAATGAGAGATGTGAGGGGAAAGCGTGTGTGTATGTGAGGGTACAATGGGGCCAGAACCTGAAGGGCCTTATAAAGTCCTTCGTAAGCCATGTTGAAGGGTAGGACCTTAATCTCGAATTACCCAGAGCCATAAGAGAAGATAGCTATGAGTTGATAGAACCGGGCTAGGACGAAGCAGAGCTGGACTGTAGTACCAGCTTAGTAGACAGCTGTTCTAGAGTCCAGGTCTGCTTCCTTCTAGCCCAGGGTTCTATCAACTCATCACCTGCTACCTCTCCCTGAAATTAAAGGAGCAAACGTTCTCCTGAGAAATAGAGAGTAATTGTTGGTGTTAAATAGACCACTTTTGAGCTCCATTTGAATGTTGGGAATTAGAAATAAAATGTAAATAGTACAGAAATTGTGTTCATGAGCCACGAGAATGGAGATGAGGGAATGTTATGGGATGAGGGCAAACTCTTAAGTGTTGGCTGCTAACCAGCTGTTCTGTGTGACCCCGGCAAATCCTCTCTGTCTTAACTTTTCTTATCTATAAAATGGAGACAGTAATACAGGTTCATAATTCTTTTTTTTTTTTTTTTAATTTTTTTAATTGTACTCTAGATGAAGGTTTACAGAACAAATATTTTCTAATTAAACAGTCAGTACACATATTGTTTTATGACATTGGTTAACAATCCCACGACATGTCAACATGCTCCCTCTGGGCCTTGGAGGACCTTTTTTTTTTTTGGTGAAAATATACATAGCCAAAGATACACCATTTCAAAAATTTCTTCATGTACAATTCAGTAATGTCGATTACGTTCTTCCAGTTGTGCTGCTATTCTCACTTTAGATGAAGGTTTACAGAACAAAATAGTTTCTCATTAAACAGTTAGTACACATATTGCCCTATG